GGCCTGGAGGGTGGAGAAAGGATCGCAGGCTCGAGGGTAGCTGGTCATCCTGGGATAGAAGCATCCAGGGTGCTCAGGAGTTAGATTTGGGGACAATTTAAGCAATTCAGTATAGATCAAAACTTATGCTCAAACCATATAAAACCTTTTATCTGTGTAAACATTCCTAATGCTAAAGAATGCCAGGAGGCCGTGTGGTTTTACATAGCAAGCACAGCAAGAAATGGTGGTTGTGGTTCTGGGGCTAACTGTGTTCTTTGCTTTGTGACCTTTGAGTCTGTTTCCTTATATGTAAAATGAAAGTGTTAAACTGAGTGTTTGTTGAGCTTTCTTCTCTGATGAACACCCTGTGTTTCTGGGTAAGTACGTTTTCCAAGAATATCAACTGGATACATTGTTCTCAGTGCTCCCTTGGATGTTTCTTTTTCAATATACTTGGTACCGCTATATGCAGAGGATGTTTTTCAATGGAAAGTTCAGTTTTTTGAGCTTAAGAAAGTGCTAGGGTAGTGCATTTTTCTCCTGTTTTCAGTTTGTACATGTTCAAACACTGACTTGTACTAGAAATAATTGGCATTAAATTTTTCATTATCCTTCAGCTATTATTTAAACACTGCATTTAGTTAACAAAACTTGTTAGAAATAATTTCATTAAAAAAACTCTAATGTAGCTCACACATGAAGACACACACACGTACTTTTTTTTTTCCCCTTATGTAGAGGAGCTTGGAGAGCATACACCAAAATTAATAATGGCTGTCTCTGGGAAATGGATTATTAGAAGGGCTGATAAATTTCCAGTTTTTACTTTATGTACTTCTGTATTGATTTTTTACAATGAGCATATATTAATTTTATAATTTCACATTCTTGATTTGTAACAACATGGGCCTTCATGATTACAAAATACCTTACTTTATTGGATTTGTAGATGCAATTACCATTTGAAATGTGTAATTTAAGGCTGGAGTTGAATAGTAGCATTTTGTTAGACCACATAGAAAAATGAATGTCCCTTCTGTGATGCATTTTGGAGTTGAAGGTATTCTTTCTGATGTATACGTGGTAGGATTCACGTGATAGCTCGTGTGAGCAAAGACTTCTTTCCAACCACATTAACACGCATGGGCCCAGAGATGACAAATATGTTTTTTCATGTTTACCATTGGATCTGGTTGTGGCTGCCTGGAGGAACGTGTTGAGGATTCTGAGGTTCAGTGGGCAAGAATGCCATGCTCAGGACCTTGCCTGACAGGGGTACTAGAGGATGAGGAGAAGGGCTGACCATTTGCCATACATTTACCATCCTGGAAATCAAGAATTTTAGGTAACAATTTTTTAAAATTGTGCTTTAGATCAAAGTTTACAGCTTGTTAATTTCTCATTCAGAAATTTATACACATATTGTTTTGTAATATCAGTTGCAATCCCCACAATGTGACAGCACACTCCCCCTTTCCACCTGGGTTGCCCTGTGTCCATTCAACCAATTCCTGTCCCTTCCTGCCTTCTGATCCGCCTCCAGACAGGAGCTGCCCATTTAGTCTCATGTATCTGATTGAACTAAGAGGCACACCCTTCATGTGTATTATTTTTTTTGTTTTACAGTCTTGTCTAATCTTTCTTTGAAGAGTGGGCTTTGGGCATGGTTTCAGTTCTGGGTTAACAGAGCATCTGGGGGCCATAGTTTCAGGGGCTCCTTTATGTGAATGTGAGTCCTGCTCCACACTTTTCTGCTGCTCCACCCGGGACACTCTGTTATTTTCCTTGTCAGGACGGTCACTGGTGGTAGTCAGGCACCATCTAGTTCTTTTGGTCTCAGACTGGGTAGAATCTCTGATTTATGTGGTCCTTTAGTCTCTTGGGCTGATAGTTCCCTTGTGTCTTTGGTTTTCTTCATTCTCCTTTACTCCAAGTGGGATGGGACCAACTGATGAATCTTAGATGGCCACTCACTCACAAGCTTTTAAGACCCCAGATGCCACACCTTAAAGTGGGATGCAGAACATTTTCTTAATAAACTTTGTTATGCCAGTTGACCTAGATGTCCCCTGAAACTATGGTCCCAGGCCCCAGCCACTCTGTCCCTCAAAGCGTTTGGGTGTGTCCAGGAAACTTCTTAGCTTTTGCATTGGTCCAGTTGTGCTGACTTCCCCTGTATTAACAATTTTTTTATGAAAGTCAATATTTCTCTCTTTAGCCAAACATTTTAAGGACTTATTTTTTGTACTGTTTACTGTAGGTCCCTGGGTGACACAGATGGTTTGCACATAGCTAATATTCAAGCAAATGATATTTTGTATAATTAACGAACAGTTTCATGAGAAATCATATTAAGATCACAAGGACTAGCATTTTTTGTATTCCTCGTAGAAACTAGCATGATGCTATACCTGAAAGAAATAATGATTAATTGAATTAATAACTGATTCATTTATTTTGGTAATGTGCAGTATAGGTAATAAGAATAATCCAGTATGACTGGGCATCAGTTAAAATAATTTCAACCTCGTTTATCAGAATATTTACTAGCATTGGTGCTAAGCTGAAAAATTGAGTGCTATGACTTGTAATTTTTTCCAGTAATCCCCTTCAGTTGTCTCAGTTCATGATAGCAAAGAAAGAGTTAAATGGCTTAAACACATGAAGAAGGAGTGGCTCGATTTTTACATTTTTGGTCTAAGAGGACACCAATGATGTGTATATTCTGGATGTGGAGAGAAGATTATACTTACTGTTTTTTTTTTCCATAAGGACTGTTGTTGTTAGCTGCTGTAGAGTTGGCCCCGACACATAGGTGACCCTGACTCGTGGTGACCCCATGCACAACTGAATGTAATGCTGCCAGGTCCTGTGCCATCCACTTATTGGTTGTAGATTAGACCATTGTGACCCATAGGGTTTTCATTGGCTGATTTTCAGAAGTAGATCACCAGGTCATAAGGACTGTTGTTAGGTGCTGGTGAGTCGGTTCCAACTTATAGCAACCCTACGTACAACAGAACGAAACACTGCCTGATTCGTGCCATCGTCATGATTGTTGCTGTGTTTGAGCCCATTGTTGCAGCCACTGTGTCAGTCCATCTTGTTGAGCATCTTCCTCTCTTTCATTACCCTCTGTTTTACCAAGCATGGTGTCCTTCTCCAGGGACTGATCCCTCCTGGTAACATGTCCAAAGTACATAAGACAAAGTCTCGCCATCCTTGCTTCTGAAGAGCATTCTCGCTATACTTCTTCCAAGACAGATTTGTTCCCTTCTTTTGGCAGTCCATAGTATATTCATTATTTTTTGCTGGCACCATAATTCAGAGGCACTGATTCTTCTTTGGTCTTCCTTATTCATTGTCCAGCTTTCACATGCATATGAGGCAATTGAAAATACCATGGCTTGGATCAGGCACACCTTAGTCCTCAAAGCGACATCTTTACTTTTTAATACTTGCAAGAGATCTTTTGCAGATTAGCCCAGTTCAGTGAATGGGTTGATTTCTTGACTGCTGCTGCTGTGGGCATTGATTGTGGATCCAAGTAAAATGAAATCCCTGACAACTTCAGTCTTTTCTCCGTTTATCATGTTGTTGCTTATTGGTCCAGTTGTGAGGATTTTTATTTTTTTTACGTTCAGGTATAATCCATACTGAAGTCTGTGGTCTTTGATCTTTATCAGTAAGCGCTTCAAGTCTTCACTTTCAGCAGGTCAGGTTTTGTCATCTGCATGTTGCAGGTTGTTAATGCATCTTCTTTCAATCCTGATGTTGTATTCTTCTTTGTACAGTCCAGTTACTTGGATTACGTGCTCAGCATACAGATTGAGTAAGTATGATAAAAGGATACAACCCTGACGCATACCTTTCCTGATTGTAAACCACGCAGTATCCCCTTATTCTGTTTGACATGACAGCCTCTTGGTCTGTGTACAGGTTCCTCATGAGCACAATCAAGTGTTCTGAATTCCCATTCTTCATAATGTTATCCATAATTTGTTATGATCCACACAGTCGAATGCCTTCGCATAGTCAATAAAACACAGGTAACATCTTTCTGGTATTCTCTGCTTTCAGCCAAGATCCATCTGACATCAGCAGTAAGGACTAGCTGTTGGAAAAGGATAAATACAGAACAGAGGTCCTCCCTTCCATTTTTTGATCTTGGAGTTGTGGGAAGAGGAAAGCATTTAGTCAGTCACAGAGTAGGGTCTCTGATTATTTCAGACTGAATTCAAAAACAGAGTCGTAACATTTGTATGACATCCTGCTTGCACTCATATGAACAGCATATTTATTCATCTGCTCATTCACTTAACCATATTTATTGAGCACCTACTATATGCCAAGCACAGTTCTAGGCTCTGGGCATAGAGTGGTAGACAAGAGACAGAGTCTTTGCCCCTATTGTTCATTACAGATGAGAAAATTAATTCTCTACAAAAGTGTCTTGCCAAAAGTTGTAGAAATGGGACTTGAACAAAGCATCCAGATTCCAAATTCAGTGTTCTATCCTGTATACCACACGGCCTCCCATAATTTAGGAGGACCCTGGTTGAGTATCAGTAAGACTGTTCTGTCTGCCTTTGCTTTGCCCTGCCCTTGGTGGTAGTACGTTCTTTTCCATACTGCATGGAATGGTATGGACGCATATGCGTGTAGAAGAGAAATATCCTGTCCGTGGGGATCACTTACACCTTTTTCCGGTCCTTGGGCAAGTCATATTCATTTTCTGAGCATCACCCTAGGATCATGTCATTAAAAATAATGTAAAATATTTGGAGCAGTGTTTTTCAAACCCTTGAGCTTTGACCTATTAGTTGGCCATGACATTAATTTGGTAGGGTGAGACCAACATCAAAAAACAAACAAACCAGAAAAAATCTTAGAATGCATCACACTTAGTAAGGTAGGGATTGTTATGTAAAACTTTTATATAATAAATATAGGTTTGTATTAGGTTGCAAAATGAAATTATTTCTTTACTGTTATTTGTGTTAAAAAACATTTAAAACAGTGCTCACTTCAGCCACACATTACTAAAATTGAAATGATAACAGAGATTAGCATGACCCCTGCACAAGGTTAACACGCAAATTCGTGAAGCAGTCCATATTTTTAATGTGTTTCTTGTGGGGATGAGGAAACTACTTTTATTTTTTAAGTGGAGCTGAATTAAAATATCCATTTATTTCTATTAGAAAAAACTTGGAAACAAAGGGCATCAGGAAAGATATTCTTTTTTTTAAAACAAAAGAGATAAATGATTATCATTAGCTACCACTTGAGTGAGAGAGAGTGTGTTTGTGGTGTTTAAAGGGTTCGTTGTAGTAAAGTGGAATATGTATGATGAAATTATTAAGAGAAGTTATTTGGCATTTGAATATGTGCGTGAACAGATTTTTTATGTTTTTTAAATTAAACACACACTGACATCATGTTGCAGTTACCGAGTTCCCTGTGTCCTATACTCTTGCTGATTGTGGTTTCCTGTATTGAGTGGTTTCGTTATTTTTTGAAATTTATATATTTTGTAATTTAATTGCATTTGGGGAAATAAAGTACCTAACTGAGGGAATTTCCTATACATATCTGATTATGATAAAGTCTACAACTGTTTAGACTTTAATATAGATAGTTAAATATTACATAGTATTTTAAAACTTATTTAAGATTTTATATTTTTCATTTTCAAAATGTTAAGTGGATTTTTTTGAAGATATTATTTGTAATAAAAGAATAACAGATGAAGTTTCATAAATAGAATTTTAATAGACTAGGAAAATATTAAATTTCGAATTTGAAATAATTTGACAGGGATAGGAGTGATACCTTGGAAAGATAAGAGCTTGTTGCAAAAGAAACAACAAAAAAGAAACCATGTGAAGAGATTTTAAGAGTTTTTTAAAATCTGTGTAAGACTACATTTTTGGAAGCACATACTATCTCATTTGTTGAGATGGCCGGGACAAAGATGTATTTAAATTTTGCGTGCTTATTCTTCGCAAGGCGTGGATGAGATATATTTCTTCCTTAGAATAAGTTTGTGATCCAATTATAGAGATAAATGTAGAAGAAAGGCTAACCTTAAACGAGTGTAGAGGTCTTTCTGTCTCCTCAGAGGACAACAACATACAAAAAATAAAATTTCCTGGAGAAGGTTCTGAGCAGGAAAGCTGAGTGTGCTCTGGTTGCTCTACCGAAGACTGCACAGTGACTTTGTGTTATGGGCACCTTTAGTTTACTTGAGTGCAGCCAGTCAAAGTCTGGAGGAAGAAAGAGAAGAACAAACTAATAATTAGTGCAGAAGTATTTCACTCGGTGGGTGTCTGTCCTGGCATGAGTAACCAAAAAAAAAAAAAAACCAAACCTGTTGCTGTTGAGTCGATTCTGACGCATAGCGACCCTATAGGACAGAGTAGAACTGCCCCATAGGGTTTTCAAGGAGTGGCTCGTGGATTCGAACTGCTGACCTTTTGGTTAGAAGCTGCACTCGTAACCACTGTGCCACTACTGCCATCAACCTGTTAATCTGTTGATTTTCACCCCTTAGCCCATATCTTTGCTGGAAAAGAGAGCCGAACTATCTCTTGATCCGAGTCTCCTCCTAATGACTAGTTTAAGTGTTTTAAAGATTATTCAAGATTAACTGTCACTACTTCTTCACCTCCTATTAGCTTTTTGTTTTTTAGAAATCATTTTTATAAGTTATTGAGTTGTTGTTAGGTGCTGTCGAGTCAGTTCTGACTAATAGTGACCGTCTATGTACAGCAGAACGAAACACTGTCTGATGTTGTGCCCTCATCACAATCATTGTTATGCTTGAGCTCGTTGTTGTAGCCACTGTGTCAGTCCATCTCGTTGAAGATCTTCTTCTGTTTCACTGACCTTCTACTTCACCAAGCATAATGCCCTTCTGCAGAGACTGGTCCTTCCTTATAACATGTCCAGAGTACTTGAGACGAAGTCTCGCCATCCTCTCTTCCAAGGAGCACTCTGGCTGTATTTCTTCCGAGACAGACTTGCTCATTCTTCTGGCAGTCCATGGTATATTCATTATTCTTCGCCAACACCATAAATCAAAGGCATCAATTCTTCAGTCTTCTTACTCATTGCCCAGCTTCCGTGTGCATATGAAGCAATTGAAAATATCATGGCTTGGATCAGGTGCGCCTTAGTCCTCAAAGTGACATCTGTGCTTTTTAACACTTTAAAGAGGTCTTGCAGCAGATTTGCCCAATGCAAATGCAGTGCGTCCTTCAGTTTCTTGACTGCTGCTTCCATAGGTGTTGATTGTGGATCCAAGTAAAATGAAATCCTTGACGACTTCAATTTTTTATCCGTTTATCATGATGTTGCTTATTGGTCCAGTTGTGAGGATTTTTGTTTTCTTTATGTTGAGGTGTAGTTCATATCAAAGGCTGTAGTCTTTGATCTTCATCAGTAAGTACTTCAAGTTCTCGTCACTTTCAGCAAGCAAGGTTGAGTCATCTGCATATCGCAGATTGTTAACGAGTCTTCCGCCAATCCTGATGAGACATTCTTCTTTGTATAGCCCAGTTTTACGGATTATTTGCCTAGCATGTAAATTAAATAAATATGGTGAAAGGATGCAGTCCTTTCTTGATTTTTAAACCATGCAATGTCCCCATGCTGTCTTTGAACAACTGCTTCTCGGTCTACATACAGGTTCCTCATAGCACAACTAAGTGTTCTGAATTCCCATTCTTCGCAGCGTTATCCATAATTTGTTATGGTCCACACAGTTGAATGCCTTTGCATAGTCAATAAAACAGAGGTTAACATGTTTCTAGTATTGTCTGCTTTCAGCCAGGATCCATCTGGCATCATGTCCCTCGTTCCATGTCCTCTTCTGAATCCAGCTTGAATTTCTGGCAGTTCTCTGTCAGTGTATCGCTGTAACCACTTTTGAATGATCTTCAGCAAAATTTTACTTACATGTGATATTAATGATATTGTTTGATAATTTCCACATTCTGTTGGATCACCTTTCTTTAGAATGGACACAAATATGGATGTCTTCCAGTTGGTCGGCCAGGTAGCTGTCGTCCAGATTTCTTGGCATAGACGAGTATGCATATCCAGTGCTGCATCCATTTGTGGAAACATCTCAATTGGTGTTCTGTCAATTCTCGAAGCCTTGTTCTTCGCTAAAGCCTTCAGTGCAGCTTGGACTTCTTCCTTCAGTACTATTGTCTCTTGATCATATGCTACCTCCTGAAATTGTTGAACATCGACCAGTTCTTTTCTGGTATATTAAGTATTCCTTCTACCTGCTTTTGATGCTTCCTGTGTCATTCAATATTTTGCCCATAGAATTCTTCAGAATTGCAACTTGAGGTTTGAATTTTTTCTTCTGTTCTTTCTGCTTGAGAAATGTCGAGCATCTTCTTCCCTTTCGGTTTTCTAACTCCAGCTCTTTGCACATTTCGTTATAATACTTTGCTTTGTCTTCTCAAGCTACCCTTTGAAATCTTCTGTTCAGCTCTTTTACTTCATTTCTTCCATTTGCTTTAGCTACTTCACTTCCAAGAGCAAGTTTCAGAGTCTCTTCTGACATCCATTTTGGTTTTTTCTTTTCTTCCTGTCTTTTTAATGACCTTTTGATTTCTTCATTTATGATGTCCTTGATGTCTTCTCACAACTCCTCTGGTCTTTCATCATTATTGTTTAGTGTGTCAAATCTGTTCTTGAGATAATCTCCAAATTCAGATGGGATATACACAAGGTCGTATTTTGGCTCTCATGGACTTGTAATTTTCTTCAGCTTCAACTTGAACTTGTATATGAACAATTGATGGTCTGTTATATAGTCAGCCCCTGGCCTTGTTCTGACTGATGATATTGAGCTTTACCATTGTATCTTTTCACAGATGTAGTCGATTTGATCCCTGTGTTTCCATATGGTGAGGTCCATGTGTATAGTTGCCGTTTATGTTTTTAAAAAGGTATTTGCAATGACAGAGTCATTGGTCTTGGAAAATTCAATCGTGCGATCTCTGGCATCATTTCTGTCACTAAGGCCATATTTTCCAACTACCAGTTCTTCTTCTCCCCGATGTGTCTGTCAGTTTGTCCTACTATGGGGGCTTTCGTGTTGCTGCAATGCTGGAAACTATGCCAGTGGTACTCAGATACCAGTGGGGTCACCCATGGTGGACACGTTTCAGCTGAGCTTCCAGAATAAGACAGACTAGGAAGAAGGACCTGGCAGTCTACTTCTGAAAAGAATTAGCCAGTGAAAATCTTATGAATAGCAGCGGAACATTGTCTGATATAATAATGGAAGATGAGCCCCTCAGGTTGGAAGGCACTCAAAACACAACTGGGGAAGAGCTGCATCTTCAAAGTAGAATGGACTTTAATGACGTGAACGGAGTCAAGCTTTTGGGACCTTCATTTTCTGATGTGGCATGACTCAGAATCAGAAGAAACAGCTGCAAACACTCATTACTAATATGAATGTGGAATGTACAAAGTTGTAAATCTAGGAAGATTAGAAATCGTCAAAAATGAAATGGAATGGATAAACATTGATATCCTAGGTGTTCAAAACAAAAAAAAAAACAACCACTGCCATCGAGTCCATTCCAACTCATAGGCGACCCTGTAAGCTAGAGTAGATCTGCCCCATAGGGTTTCCAAGGAGCACCTGGTGGATTCAAACTGCCGACCTTGTGGTTAGCAGCCGTAGCTCTTAACCACTACACCAGCAGGATTTCTATCCTAGGCATTAGTGAGCTGAAATGGACTGGTATTGGCCGTTTTGAATCAGACAATCGTATCGTCTACTATGCTGGGGATGACAAATTGAAGAGGAATGATGGGGCATTCATCATCAAAAAGAACATGTCAAGATCTATTCTGAAGTACAATGCTGTCAGTGATAGGATAATATCTATACGCCTACAAAGAAGACCAGTTAATATGACTATTATTTAAATTTATGCACCAACCACTAAGGCAAAAGATGAAGAAATTGAAGATTTTAACCAGCTTCTGCAGTCCAAAATTGATCGAACATGCAATCAAGATGCCTTGATAATTACCACTGATCGGAATGTGAAAGTTGGAAACAAGAAGGATAGGTAGTTGGAAA